CCACCTTTCTGCCGCCTCAGGGGCCCCAGTCCCCCCTGCCCGGTGGATCCTGGCACCTTCGAAGGCTGCGCGCCGCAGGTCAGGAGGGGTGGGGGGCAGAGCGCCTGGTGGTGCAGGGCAGAGGGAGCCGGGGCTGCTCCCGCTGAGCCCCGCTGGCCCTGCGAGAGCCGGCGTCTGAGCTGGGTATGTGAGAATTCTGGGTGGCGTGGGCTCACCGTCGCGCTGTGTTTTGTTGGCTTGGAGACTGGTGGGTAGGCGAGCAGAGGTTACGCTCTGGCGGTTCCGGCTGGGTAGGGTGGGTGCCAGGCCTGTCTGCTGCCTGAACCTCACGGGCTCATTCACCAACGGGACCTCGGAAGCCCCCCCGCCCCCTGTGCGGTGACACAAACACACACCTCATAGTGGAAGGGCCACAGCTCCACGACCCAGAGCTCCTTGGCCTCAGCATTGATCCTAGGTCAGCCCTTTCTTCCCTAGCCCTAGGTACCAAGAAATTGAGCCCTTAGGCTTCAGGTGGGTCTTGGACTGACTGGCCCTGTTCCTCAGGCTTCAGGTCCTCTCTGAATTCCCTGATGAGAAAGGACCAGCCAAGGCCCTATGCCTACGCTGAGCCCAGCAAGTGCCCTCCACCCAACCGGGAAAGGGCTGGACAGTGTCCTGGAGGAAGGGGTAGGAGCATAATCACTACGGGAAGACCTTCTGCCTCGGGACGTTAGCACGTTGGGTTCAGGGGTGCGTGCTGAGATGTCTGCAGCTGAGCTCCCCACCGGCCCATGAGTTTCTTCAGCTGGGTTCTGGCTGAGACGGTCTCCTTAACCTCCCTTGCCATCCCTTCCCATCAGACATGGTGTTTGCAAGGTCTTTGAGACAGTGGTTTCCATCCTGTTCTTTTCTGTCCTGACTGCCCAGCCTTGGCCAGCTGGGGCCAGCCTTGTCACTTCCACCCCAGATGACACAGGAGACTGGTCCAGGATGGAATGAGCCAAGAGAGAGACAGGCTACCCAAAGTGATTCTGACAGCAGGCTTGAGGAGCTCCTCATATCCCTGCATACCCGCTTCTGGACTCCAAGGAGCAGCCAGCCTCCCAGCTCCCTGGCCTAGGAGCTGTCTGCAACTTTCCAAGAAACCAGCCCAGGGAAGTCCTGCCCACCGACAAGGCCTTCAGGGTCATGCTTCACAACACCAGCCACAGCAGAGACGTGGCCTATGGGGGTAAGCTTCCCTTAACCCAGATGGAGGTGCCCCAGCTGGGCAGATTACACACCACTCCTCATCACAGGCTTGGGGTCCGTGTCTACTCTCATGCCTTGTCTGTCCTGGATTGGAGGGGAACTGGTCTCCACGCAGAAGAGAGTGGCAGTATTTACTTCCCTTCCAGTTCACCTTTGTTTTGCAAGATCTCCTGTGCACAGAGTATCCCAAAGTGAATCACTAGTGCTCACAGTCCAGACGGTGGGGGAGGCACAGTGTAGTGCCACAGAAGACAGAGGTGGTGCAAATGGAGCAAGAAAGGAGAGATCAGGGAAGGCTCCAGAATAGGAAATGCCTGTGGGCTTGTCAGAGCCACACAAGTCCGGAAGCATGGATGAGAAAGATGCGTCAGGGAGTGGCAAATAAAGGCCAGGCTGTAGCTAGGGTAGGAAAGGGGTCAGCCAACGCTTGACATCATGCTATGGGTTTTTGACCCTTAAGGACTGTTAAAACCTTTCAGGCAACAAGGTCTAGGTGAGGCTGTCAGGGACCCTTGCCTTGTGCCTTGCTCCTGACCCTATCTGTCCTTGCCTCCACAGGTGACACCATGAGGGGGCAAGACAGAGAAAGGAAAGGAGTATGGGCAGGAGCTGGGGGAGCCCTGGCCACCAACACCTCCTCCCCCTTCTCCCCTGAGCCTCCAGAGGCCTCAGGCAGCATCATTCCGGTCTACTGTGCCCTCCTGGCCACTGTGGTCTTCGGTCTGCTTGCCTATGTGGCCTTCAAATGGTAGGTGTTCTGGGCACAGCCCCCTCCTCCACATCTGGATTCCCAGGCAGCTCCTTGCCTTGATGGTGGGAGCACATTGGCAAGCACCCCCTGCTCCCCACAGCTGGCGCTCACATAAGCAAAGACAGCAGTTGGCCAAAGCTAGGACTGCAGAGCTGGGGCCCCTCAGCAGGGACCAGAGGCATGGCGATGGCAGCGACTTCCTGGACTCTCCTAGTGGTGTAGAGCCCTGTGCCTCCAGCCAGGGTGAGCCCATTTCCTCACTCCGTAGCCCTATGGGTCCCCTTCATGTCCCCCATCCTCACCCCTCATGACCCTCGTGTCTTCTTCCGCAGGACCACAGCCTGACCTTGACTGCCGATTTTACCTTCACCTCCCTCGGCAGCAGCAGGAGGAAGTGGAGCAGCTCCTGGAGGCATCAGATGAACCTGACAAGGGCTGGCAGGGCCTGGCAGGTCGTCTTGGGTACCAGGCTGAGGCCGTAGAGACCATGGCCCAGGGCCAGGTGCCAGCATATACCCTGCTGAGGGACTGGGCTGTCCAAAAGGGCAGCAAAGCTACCCTCAAGGTGCTGCAGGATGCCCTGGCTGCCATGGGCCGGGAAGACATCATTGGGGTCCTGAGATCCCCAGGGGAGGGTTGCTCTGTGGTGTGAATGATGTCCCCACAGCCTGCTTTGGTGATCCCTACGACCCTGCCTCCCCACACGACTCCCCTTCACCAGCTTCTAGTATGTGGGCTTTGGGTTGTGCTCTCCTGGGGAGAACACAGAATCCAGCAGCAACTCACACTCCCCTTGTGCAACCAGGACATGGGGGAGTAGGCAGTGAGAAGCGATCCTGCCTCCCAGTCCCCACAGGCTTCCCTTATCTAACCTCAACTGTTTTTGCTACTTTTGTATCTTATATTAAAGGTGACGCTGGACTTTTGTGCTGGCTCTATCTGGCTTCTTGGGCTTGTGACGGTTATGATGCAGAGGCCCAGAAAAGGACTGGGTGCTAGGCATGGTGATGCACATCTGTAGTCCCAACAACTTGGAGGCCGAGGAAGGACTACAGGTTAGACGCCAGTCTGGGCAACTTGGTGAAAACTGTTTCAAAAAAAGGGGTGGGTGGGGCTGGGGACATAGCTGTGGTAGAGCCCTTGCCTGGTGTGTGTGTGGCTGGATTCAATGCCCAAGGGATGGGGCGGGGAGGAAGAGAAAGAAAAAGAGGGCTGGGGCAGACCCTAGGACCAGGGTGGCAAACCTGTGGCATGCGTGACACGGCAGCTTTTTGTCATCACTCAAAGCTCTGACAGGTCTGCTGTGAGTTGGGAGAAATCAAACCTCTGGAGGAAAGAGGTCCAGTGCTTTTCTCTCCGGGAGGCATCAGGGTCAGATGTACTTGCCTTCTCGACAGACCCATTACCAACCAGCCTTGTATCAGAGGCTTGTGTCACACTTCTGGGACCCAAATGCAGCCACAAGATCCCAAGCCCACAGATGTTAGCCTCTGGACAACAGTCGGCTTCAAATGCAGCAGGACTCAAGGGGAACAAGGCTCACAGTAAAATCCAATAGCAAGGATTAATCTTGGACTTCACACCACGGCCACTGTCTCTCCTCTCAGTGACATCCCTACACGCAACATGCTCGATTAACTTTTACAGAACACACATGCCAAGTTCTTTAATTCATTTTATTTTTTACATAAAAAGTTCAGTAAAAATTGGATAAAGTAAAGTGATTTTAAGCAGTAAATCAATCTTATCAACAGAGCACAGGACTGGCCAAAACCACAAGGCAGCCTGCTTTGGAATATTTACATGATAACAAATTAAACCTTGCAGGAGAACTTACACCATCCTTACAAAGTCTTTCTGTGATCCTAGCACATAGAGGCTAAAAGCAAAACAAAAACCAAACAAAAACCAAGAAAAAAAACAAATTATTTTCAATATATTCACATATACATTAAAATATAATACAGATCATCAGGGTGAAGGGTCTTGGTGGGGATGCGCATGGGTCTGTGCGCTGACAGCACCGCCAAGGAGGAGACCCAGGGTGAAGGTGGGGGTCGCGTAGGCTTGGCCAGGGTCTCCCTGGGCTGTTGCCTCTGATGACCTCTCACCACAGCACAACAGCTTGAAACTGGGGCTCACTTGCAGATGGAGCTCATTTTGTGGCTTTCAGTTGACACCTGCAGGTTTGAGTTCCCAGGGTGATGTGCCATCAGTAGCACAGCCCGACAGTGGGTGTGAGGGGCAGGGCAGAGCCCACGGAATTTCTCCCAGAGTCTGGCCTGTCTGATCGGCCATCCTCCCACCCTGGCCCACTGGTCACTCTAACTCCGTGTCCTCTTTGGGTTTGTAAACAGCCCCAAACTTCTGCATGTATTTCTTTATGTACTCCTTGGTTTTGTGTTTCACATTCTCATTGCACTCCAGGTCCTCAGGGTTCTTACAGTACTTCAGCTCCTTGTTCATAACACCATGAGTCAGCTGTCCGGGGCACAAGAAAAGAGACCACAGCTCCCATCAGAGTGGAAATGATGTGAGGGAGACGCCAGGAAACCCGGCCTGCTGCTTCTGGGCCCTTCTCACTGTGACTGGGAGTTGGCTAACGAGGTGGATCAGGCAGGCCTGCGGCTGGGATCACCAGAGGCTCAGCACTTAAACTTCATCAGAGGGTACCCCCTCCCCAAACCTTCCCCTTTCCTGAGCCTCCAGCCCTGGCATCTGCGCAGTAAAACCACACTTTCTATGAAGGGGGCCATCCTAGAAGGAACACAGATTGTCAAGACACCAGAAGACCAGGGGGCAGTGGAGTACCTTGCGAGCTAAGTGTTTGAAATCCTCAGTTGTGGTGATTCTGCCTACTTTGCAGTCAGGTTTCCGGTAAGGGTTCAGGCACTGGACGATGAACTGAGACATCTGCAGGTGGAGGAAAGGGAGCATACTGCTCAACAGTATAGAGCGGGCACGGGATGTGCTGAGGGAACAATGAGAAAAGGCAGCAAACACAGCCAGCCGGTGCGTCCCTCTTCCGCCCTCAGTGGCTGGCCTGGATGATGGAACACCAGCAAGCCAGTGAGCCTAAGAGATGATGATCCTGGCTCTAGCCTAAGAGGGAAGGTGTGCTCTTGGATGGACTGAGGGACCATTAGGTTTCAGCCACATTGTGCCCTTGGCAGAGGAGCCTGAGCAGGTTCCCTGGCCCCTGCAGGTACTCTATAGAGCTACAGGGAGCTTCTGTAAGCGCAGGAAGCAGCCCTAGTATATCAGTCCTCAGGTCACCCAGAGTCTGAAGGGCTACCCTCCCTTTGCTCACTTCATGTCACAGGCACGTGAAGCGGATGGAAATGTGGCATGACAGCCAGATGAATACAAACCATGGCAGGGCCTTTTTCATCCCACCACTTCTGGCGCCTCCCCCGGGCAGTCTCTGCAGGGTATGTCCTTACCCAGTGGCTCTCAAAAGAGGCCAGTGATAGCTACTTTGCCTCTGAGCTTTCAGACATTCAAAGAACAAGCCTGAGGTGGGCATAGTATACATGCCAGTAATATAAGCACTGAGGAAAGTGAGGGGGGTGGACCATAAGTTCCAGTCCCACCTGGACAACTGAGTGAGACTTTGCTGCAAAAATAAAAGACTAAGGATGTAGCTCAGAGGCAGAACAACCCTGAGTTGTTTTGATCGCCAGTCTCCATCCCCTATCTCCTCCAAAAGGGCTAAAGGGCTGCCTCTTTTCTTAATCCCTGAGAGTAGGCAGCCACCAAATGAGACATCCAAAAAAGAGAACTAGAATTTGAGCCTGAGTTCTTTTGTGACAAGCATAACTTCTCTTGGGCCAGGGATTTGGCTAAGCGGTTTTGCCACCTGCCTCACAAGCACAAGGGCCCGAGTTCAATCCCTGGTACCAAAAAGTAAAAATAAAAATGAATAAATGAAGCCAGGGATAGTGGCGCATGTGCACAAGGGCCCGAGTTCAATCCCTGGTACCAAAAAGTAAAAATAAAAATGAATAAATGAAGCCAGGGATAGTGGTGCATGCCTATAATCCCAGCACTCGGGAGGCTGAGGCAGGAGGATCGCTGTGAGTTCCAGACCAGCCTGGGCTACATAGTGAGTTCCAGGTCAGTCTCAACCACACATAGTGAGACCCTGTCTCAAAAAACCAAATAAATTAATAAATAAACAATAATAATAAAAAAAATAACACAACTTCTCGGAACCTTAAAAATTCTACCTCTGTTAGAATGGCAATCTCTGCCTTGCCAACCTCAAGGGCTATTATGGGGAAGAGACAGCAGATATAAAAGTGCTTACACTGTTGTCAAGGTCCATCCCAACATGTCATCGCACACAACCGTGAAGTCAATCACAGAAGTAAGCGAGCCCCCAAAGAGAAGACAGCCTAACACTACATTTAGGCCTCCTCTGCCTCAGAGGGTACAAAAGCTCACAGTGAAACAGGCCAATGTGCTATGCAGAAAGGCTCCTGTCAAGCCAGTAAGAAATGAATGAAGAGAACTGAGAAGGTAGCTAGAGGCACAGCACCTGTCTGGCAAGCGTGAGGCCTTGAGTTCGATTCCTGGCACCAAAAAAGAAAGAAATGGCTGAGGAATTCTCAGCACTTGTCAAGATACACAAGGTAAATCTTATGTTTTCGCCCTCGGGGTAAGGGAAATGTTGCACAGACATAAAACAAGGAAAGGCATGGCACTACAAAACCTTACCTCTTTTCTGAACACTTCTTTGCTTTTCTTAGCCAGCTCACTGGAGGTGTCTGCTTCTGCTGTCTTGGGCTTTTTTGATGTCTAGAAGTGGAAAACACAGCAATGCTAACATGAGAAATCAGTTGAGCAATGTCCTATTATCCCCAGAGTGCCCTTTTCTTTTTCTTTTTTTAAGACAGGGTCTCATTATATAGTTCAGGCTGGCCTTGAATTCACTATGTAGCCCAAGGTGGCCTCGAACTTGTGGCAATCCTCCTGCCTCAACTTCCTGAGTGCTGGGATTACAGGCATGCACCACCATGCCTGGCCAGAATGCCCCTTTCTTCCCGCATTTGGGTTACCTGACACTTGAATTGGGATCCACCTTAGAAGTCCTAATTCAGGCATGGCCTTCAGTCAACTTGGCTGCTTTGTTTCAAATCCCGTCACCTAGCCCTGGCCTCTTCCAGTTAAGGCAAGCTTCTCTACCTGCATCAAAACTACATCCTTCACAAAGGCACATAAGTTCCAGTTGTTTCAGAGTCACTCTCTCTGCAGCAGAACATGCTGTATGCCCTGGACCTTCATGTCCTTGTTCTAAGCTTCAGCTCCTCACATTGCCAAGTGAGGTTTGGACTCAATGAGCTCAACCTCTCTTGTCTCTGACATTCTAGGGGTCCAGAAGAAAGGCAACTAACTGCTCTGTTCTGAAGGTCTGTGTTATTCATCACATTTCTTCCAAAGGTAAAGCTGGCTACACTCTTTAAGACAGTCTCAGCGCAGAGGAGAGGTTCCTTGGAGTCTGGCACGTCTACCTCAGGAAAGGAAGGGCTGGGTGTGGTGGCGGCGGCAGTGGTAGTAGGGAGTCATGCATTATTCAAGCCAGTGAACAGACAAGTAGATGCTAAGACACAGAAAATGCTTGATCCAAAGCTGGCAAGATGATAAACCGCTCCCTTCCAGCAATGCCAGAGAAGAGGCCAACAAGCTCTCTCTCTCTCTAACCACGCACTGCCAACAGGTGATGAGCCAGCAACTCTGCCATTCAGACTATCTCCCCACACCTTTGCCCACCACTAGCTCTCAGGACCCTACTCAGTAAGTGTTTTCCGTAGAAGAGAAGAAACATGAGCACACCCCTTTCAACACAAATCACTGCAGATGGATCTAAAAGCTAAAGTAGGTGCTATAAATATTTCATATTTTTGCTAGAGACATAAGACAGATAACTTTTTCAAGCTCCTCCATCCCATTCCCACTTCTGTTTCCTTTATTTCCCTGAACCGAATGAAGGCTCTGGTGCTGAAGCTATTTGTCTGCCTCTATTCTGGACTGGCTCCAAAGACTGCTACAAATCAGCTTTCTCTAACGTGTTACAAGAGATTTACATATTTCCTATTTTTCTATTTTCTGTGGTTGTGGAAGAATGGGGATGAGAGGTTTGGGGGGATAGGGTAGAAAGGACATACAGATTCAATTTCTGTTTCTGAAAACACAGCAGGAATAACTATTTTGTTTTGTTTTTGTTTTCTGAGATGCAGTCTTGTACAGTTCAGGCTGGTCTCGAACTCACTATGTAGCTTAGTCCAGCCTTGAACTTGTGGTAATCCTCTTGCCTCAATCTCCCAAATGTTGACAAAGTAACTATTTTACACTTCATTTCAGCAAGAAGGCCAAGAAGCAAGAACAAGTAACTGTTTTGAAAAGTTGTGCTTTGAGTTTTTTGTTGTTGTTTTTTGTAGCTGTACAGTAATGGGTATGTTCTACAATAAGATCTTTGGTAGCAAAGGATCAAGAATTATTTATAAGCCAAGGAAAGTTCAACATATCCCCAACTATTGTCCTGTAGATCTGAGAAGTGAGGAGTGCAAAGGGGCATAAAAGTATGACAATCATTTATCTTAAGGATCCTGATCTCATAAAAGAAACCAGGCTCCGTGGGGTACCGTGTACTGTGCTTCCCTCGAACAGGGTATAATATTC